AATAAAAATCAAATAAGAATGCATAGATACATGATACCTACACGATAACGTGTTATTGGTTTGAAAAAAATTTTTTTTATGTATTTATAATCTAACATAATAATTATTAGAAGTAATGAATAACAATATTTTACCTACGCCATTCTATTATGAAGCATTATACTTTAGTAACTATATATTTTATTATGTATATAAGTATAGAATTGTTGAATAGAAGATCATAGATATAGCGAGGCGATGATTGACATGCGAATATAATGTTATACCGTTAATCAATAATAATAAAAAGAAAGTAGTATTCTTCTTTTGTTGTCATATCATACTGCTCAGAGGCGTTTGTTTTTAGTGACTTCAACCGAAAGTATAAAAAATTTAAATCTATTATGTTTTAGGAACCACGTGGTGTCAGGAGATGACGTGGTGTATTGCAAACGATTTAGACTTCGAAGGTGCCAAACAATTTTTGCCCGAAAGATTTCCATTTTTAGAGTAACTATCCTACGTATCTGTCACTATATAGAAGAACGTACATTTTTACTAACGATTTTCATTATTAATTCAATTTTAGCCACACACCATTATTTGACTATGAAAAAGTGCTGCCAGAAAAACCCGACCTCAAGCTACCGTTGTATGTTTCCGATTCGATCAAGTTCATAAATGAATTAAAATCTCCGAGATTTATCAAGACTCATTTACCTTACAAGCTTCTACCAAAAAAACTTAGAGATCAAAGTACCAAAGCAAAAGTAAGATCTAAATTCTGATTGTTAACATAATATTTAATATTATAAGGATCATTTTTATTTTGACGATTTTTATTGTGTTCAAAATTCCTGTAACATTAATACCACAATAATATATGATATTTACATAATATACAACACATTTTTCTATACTTTTTTTTAAGACTCGCATGAACTCAATCAATATACCTGATATGAAGGATTTGAATAATTAAATAGGTTTTTTAGTATAATTTAGTATAATCAACGATTGGACAATCCTTCATTAATGATCACTATATACAATAATCAATATAGGTTATATAATTTGCCAATTGATATTACTGTCATAAATTTACAATAGAAATGTAACAAAAATGACACTGTAAGCCATTAGGTGGTATTGATAAAAATATATAATTAAGATTTTAAAGGAGAAATTGATAAGTGAAGTTAGTTATTATTTAAACACAAGTTGATTGAGCTAAGTATCAGGTACAAAATTACTGCTGCATGCGAATGATATTCTTATAAATACGTTTATCCGTTTTGAAGATTTGATTCTGTAATTTTTTTTCTATCCATTCAACATGAAATATATATACATTACACAATATTTTTTAGTCAACATTAAAATCTAAGGATTCCTTTTAAAGCTTCAACGCGAATGAACATAGTCACCCAGAATTAAGATACTGTTTTTTCGGTAATACCACTTATTTAATCACGATATTAAAATATCAAAAATAAATTTGAAATGTCATAATATGTTGAGAACCATACGAATATTTCAATTTATAAGTACAGGGATTTGGTATTTCCTTATATTAAAAATGTAATACCAAACAATCTGTATACAATTTAGTACAGTAAATATCTATTTTTATACGTATATAATTGAAAAATAAATGAGTGGTGTGATGAGAACTAACCTCAATCACTAGTAAGATTTTATATTCACACATTGAATTTGGCGTACCTACCTAGCTATATTACTGATTTACTAAAGAAGAAACTAGTTAATAATGGAGTTACATTAAAAATGTTGCTATAGTCTTTATTAAAATAGGTTATGATAATATGTTTATATTATATGTCACGCTAAATTCTCCGCCCTCATTGTAAATTTCAGATTTTTTAAATAGTACGCTTTTGATGATCGTACCATAAAATTATATTTTGAGTACTTTATTGGCACTTTAATTTTGTACACGTCAGTTTATCTGGTAAATATTGTGGGCCTGAATGTCTCCACAAAAGTATATTAAATATTTAATTTGGAAATTATAACCGTTTAAAAATTATCATACTCTAATGTATAGCTTATATGGAACTCATTATAATCATTATAGTTTATATCATAATTTAACTATTTCATTATAATAAATTATAATCAAACAATATTATATACGAACTTTCAGATCGTTTACGTGGCCAGAAATCCAAAAGATACTTGTCTTTCATATTTTCACCACTGTTGTTTGTTAGAAGGATATACAGGAAATTTTGAAGATTTTTGTAAATTGTTTACCTCAGATTCCCGTGAGCAAAATTCACAATAAAAAAAAAAATAATAATATAAAATTTAAAACAACGTACACTAACAACTTGTGTAATTAAGTCTGTTTTAGCCCATTTTTTGATCACATTCTTGGCTACTGGGATCGAAGAGACGATTCCCGATTACTCTTTTTGAAATATGAAGAAATGAAACAGGTAATCTACCACACATATTATTTTGATTTGCTCATATTATATTTGTTATCGATAATATCCGACCCTTTGCTAATGTTAATATTAACTTGTTAACGAGGTTAAATTCTAATAACAAAATGTTCGTATAATTTTTTTTGGTTACATTTTAGACATTTATAATTCACTATTTTATCATATATTTACTTTTTAATTTACGACACGATAAGTTAATATTAATAAGTGTTTATTTTATTACAACATTAATAAGAAATAGATACTATTGTGATACAATAACAAAGTAAAGTTGTAACTCAATCAAAAAAGCAGTCTTGTATATGTGAATGAGTTAATCGACAGTTAGAATTGAAATAAACAAAAATCCATACATACAATTGTACCTGCTAAAATAATTTAACAAGAGAAGAAATGAAAGGCAACTTATAAAAATTAAAAAGAAATAATACCTATTAGAATAATAAGTAAATATATTATATACAAAAGATTTTTTTTTTTAAATGATTAATATTATATTCGAGTGCCTAATAATATTGAACCTTTAAAAATTGAACTTTTGGGTACAGTTGAAAAATAATAATAAGGGGAATATTTTGCTTAAGTCTTATGTTATATAAATTATGTTCAGGTTAATTATTATCAGTCAGACAAATTTTAAATACACATAATAATAGTTCACATTCATAGATATTTACACAATGTTATATATTAACATTTCTTTTAATTATTATTACGTATTTCGTCACCTGTTGATCATTAGCCATGCGTAATTGTATAATGTTGGTCATTGATTACTGAATCCTGAAAGGTATTGTAATTCATAAAAGTCGTGGTTAAGTTTAACATTAGTCAATTATATCTGATATTATATTATGATATATATAACATATTATACTATACTACTGCATATTGCATACTATATATAGATACTATTTACTAGTTCCTATTATGACATTATTTTAACAACATTTTTAATTTGTTTGAATAGGATCTACGTGCGGTAATTCGTCGAACWGCTAAATTTTTAGGCAAAGATTTGCTTGACGATCAGGTTTTGGTTTTGGAAGACCATTTAAGTTTCGAAAGCATGAAGAACAACAGAGCTGTGAATTACGAGCCTGTTATTGAGATTAATAAGACTCACAATTTAATTGATGCTGATGGAAGTTTCATGAGAAGTGGTACAGTGGGAGGAGGAAAACAAAAAATGTCACCAGAGTTTGTAAACATTTTTGATGAATGGGAAGAGAAATGTCTAGGGAAAAGTGGATTAAAGTTTTGAAGAAATTAACTAAGTAGTAAAGTGGTGTTAGGTGTTTAGTGCGAATGTAATTACAAAAATAATAATATTTATTTATTTATTTATTGGTTATTAAACTTTGTGTACGTTCCGTAAACTATTTTATAGATACATAATCACCGATTTTCGCATGATGTGATGAATCAATTGGCTACTCGTATTTAAACGCAACAATTTGGCTATTGGAACCAAATAACAGTTAAAAATATAAACCATTTTGGTCTATGGTTGTATCTCTATAAAATTTACCTTTTGTTACAGTCACTACTGGAAGTTAGTGTATACTACTTAAAATATAAACTACTAAAAATTATTTTCTTTATTATAAACTGTTTAAATTAAGCGCCTTGTATCACATATAACATGATTTAATTTTGTTAAACTCGTAAGTATATAATAAATAATAATAATGAATTAACCAAAAAAATATATTTTATGGAATCAACCAGTTAATATCACAAAATTACCCAGACCACCGTCATCACTAATCACATTACTTGGAACTCTCTACAATAATGATATATTATTATCGTATAGTTTTTTTTTTATACATTTCTTATGAGTATGAATTTTGTTAATATCTAAGCATTTCAACTATTTGATATTAAAATAAKAATCAAATATTAATATGATAGTATGTAGTTGTTTTTTAGATAAATACCTATATTATTTATAAATTTAAATTGATTACCTATAGTACATTATCATATTTTATTAAAAATGTATTCGCAATATAAAAACGTAATATTATATTTCTACAAGGCCGTAATACAATAAACATATTCATAGGCGTGTACCCACTACCCAGGCACGACCCKTGATTTTTCATGGACCGAAGCGCTATATTCCTTAATTTACCGAAATCACCAAATKCATTCAATTTTAGATAATTTTTTCATAGCGGATTTGAAAAAAATTGAATAATTCACTATGTTCCCTCTGTAGTTGAAAGTTTGTATACACTATACAGTATGGTGTTTAGACATATTATTTTGACTAGTATTAAAATTGTTTTTATAGTTTATTTATATAATTTATGTATAATATTATGTAATAAACTATAAATAATAATATGGTAAATATGTTTATCTCATTATTGGAATAATTGAATATTTGAATATTGAATACAAACAATTTGCAGTTGGGTAACGAGGACCCCACCTTTCTTAGTTCACCTTAATATTGTGTTATTGATATTATTGTAGTATCTTTTTTATTATTTTGTTATATCGTGTGTATGTAATTTTACTTGTGTCCTAATTATTATAATTTATGTATTTTAATATTTTATTGTACCTGTAGTTTTGCCGTATTTTTGGGCCATCGCCCCTTATATATGTTAATTATGTAATAATAATAATGTTAATAAACAAGTAAACATATAAACAAATATGAGTTTACGTAGGGTTTTTCCCTTACGCAAATAATATAATATTTTTTCTAAAATAGTTCAATAAAAACAATAAATAACCATTATGCACCATTCCTTTGGTAACAGCTGGTAAATTAATATGATACAATAACCACAGATATATACTATACATGTAACACTGTAACAGACGAATGTCTACCTAACCTCTACGGACATAAAATACTTTTATGATTTCTACTACTCGTATTTCTAGATCTGTAATTCATAATTATTATATTTTGTTATGCTTTATTCTAATTTAATAGAACTTGTATTTTTGTTTATTTGAACTATCATGAG